AGCACCTACCGGTAGGGCACGGCTCCCAATCTTTAGGCATAACGTTATCAACAACCCAGTGCATTAGGTGCAATGTGTACAGTTTGTGACCTTGCACCATCCCTATATGCTGTAGTGTGCATCGCGCCGACGTTCAAACATGACCGCTTTGAGGTGGTCGATGAACACCGGGGGATAGGATGTATCTGTTGGCTGGTTTACGTTCGGCACTATACCACTGCTCGCCTACGATATCCTAGCTCATCTACTAGTGCGTCCTACCTATCGCTCATCTACGTTTGGTGCCGACCATGCCATTCATCCATGAAGCGAAATTGGTTAATTCGCATGTTCAAGTGTTTTGATTGGCTACTGTGTGTGAAAAGGTATTCCCAGTCAGAAATTCTGACATTCATCAAGAAATTCCCAACATAATCAGATCAAAAGGCTACATCGTGAAACTTTTCAGGAAATATCACGTAGCAAAATCACTCTAGTATTGTGGATTCGGTACGAGTTTCCAGACCCCGTCGAATCGAATCTCGCCACCGAATCGAATCACGAATCGACGCTATTGGCTAATCCATTTTTTAGTGGATTTGATTGGCTCTTACAGAAAGGACAAGTATATTCAACCAATCAGAACTCCAGCGTGGTTCAATATTGATGAGACGAACCAACGCGAATTTTGGAAGTTTATCGCGAATTCATAATACACCAACACGGATATTATCAGCGCTTCACAGATGTACATTACTAAGTAGCTCTTAAAATGTATACGACTGCAGGCCCTGGGGAGACGTGATTCGGTTCTGGGGGATGCTGGCCCGCGTACGCCTATTCTCGACGTCGTCATCAAGGCACACATGACGCCGTCGGTCGTAGGACATGCCGCTGCTTCGCACATCGTAGGGTGGGAGGCTGTTACAGTCGTATGTGGGAAAACTGCCCAAGCTGAGGTTCCTGGTACGCGGGTCATCGTAAATGCCGATGCTGCGGCTGTCTCCGGGGTGAAGGTCCTGCCTTGGCGTAGTGCAGCCTTGCAGAAAGCTCGAGTCGTTGGTCATGATCGTTGCGTTGTTGAGTGGGGGAAGATATGGCGCCGCTTTGCGCGTCGGCGCGCCTTGGTACGTCCCTGCAGGATCGACGCTGTAAGGGCTCGGCACTGACGGCTGACCGTAGTCGTCGCTGTCGCGGTACCGACTCAACCGGGTACACAGGAACAAAGCTGTGACGAAGAAAAACACGGCGCCGCCCACAATCGTGGGAATCACCCATCCCGCGATCCCGCTGGCGGTCTCCACGGGTTGTTTGGTGCTGGATGGTTTGGTGGTTTCCACTTGGATCGGGTCTGGTGTTGGAGGTGGGGTGGTCTGGACTTTCACGGTCGGGGGCGGTGTGAACGAGACTGTCGTTTTGGGGGCTTTCGTCGGCTCGGGAGTGAGTTCCGGCGTTGGGGCGTCGGTTTCAGGCACTGAAGTTGTGGGTTTGGGCGTGGTCTCGGGCGTTGGCTTTGGAGTCGGTGCGAGGGTGGTCGTGGGCTTTGGAGTCGGCGCGAGGGTGGTCGTGGGCACGACGGTGGTTGTTGGTGTGAGGGTGGTCGTGGGCTGTTCCGTCGGAGCGTCCGTGGGTTCTTCTGTGGGTGCTGGCGTAACTTTGGCGGTGGTTCGAGGCGGAGATGACGTGGTCGGCTTGGCGCTTGTGGTAGGAAGGTCTGTTGGGGAAGGAGATGACCGCGGCGTCACGGCCGGAGTCTCGACGATGTCTTGCAACGATCGATGAGAGGACATATCTGCGCCTTGTACCACCGCAGCCACCGCCATGGCAGGCACTATTACTCCATGAAATCGCATGCTTCTCTTTGCGTGTGCGATTCGAATATGCTACCATCTGGTGCGTATGCTCATGATTTCCACATGGACTTTACCACTTTACCGTACACTTTGTGGAACTTCCTCGCAGTGTCAAGAAATTTTATTGTTGCAGAATATTGGAAATTCGGTAAACATTTCAGTACCCCGTTCAATCGAATCTCGTCGACCGAACCAGGCACCAATCTCTCCCATTGGTCAATACGATCATACGTGTCGCTGATTGGCTAAAATCCATTTCGATTTTCTACCGGAATGGGTGTAGTGGATATTAGCCAATCAGATGTCTCGGCACTATTTGCGCTCGATTGAACGAACCATGGAAAATTGGGAAAAATCCATTTTCTTCAATTTTCCCAACCAGGCTTCGGACTTAATATATCTTTGAGATAATAATCTAGATAAGATAGCAAAAATAATCTATTTCTTATGTGACGTTGGATGCAATTATCTATTTTCAGTGCCGGGAGATATCGATAATCTATTTTCAAGCTTCGTCAAATTACCTGATAATCAGTCTATGAAAATAGGTGTATACCTAAAATTATTGTGCTTTTCACTCGTTTTGGCTATTCACATCATAAACCTGGGTGTTTGTTACATCGACCCTATTGTTTTAGATAATCCGTACCGTGATTTAGGATCACGTTTCGTTACAGAGTGTATTTATGGGGAGGTCATTTATGTAACTCCCTCGCTTTTGCACATTTGAAAAGTGCAAATCGAAGTTATATCTGCTATTCTCGCGACCAAATTTGCACAATTCACTGGTCATCATGTATAACTTTTGACACTGGTATTATAAATGTCACACAGCGAGGACACGCGCCGTAGACTACCGTACAGCGATGTACGTATGGTGCCACATCGTAGAAAACCACGCCATCTTCTTGTTCCATCGCATAGTACATGCAGCTAGCGCGTACTATGCGATGGATTTAATAGCCAAGGTGTTTTGGTCACTTCAGCATCACATGTGATTATTATTGCTCAGGGTTATTTGGAATTTATAAAACCCAGTGAATTAGCTAAAACCCCAGGTATTTATTCAACTTTGTAAAGAAGTACCACTCTTTTAGACACGTACTCCCCACTACCACCCCACCCCTACGCTCCAGAATAATGGCCAAAAACCCTGCTAACATTACCCCAGTGACTACGATTGCTGCACATGTGACCACCCCATCACTCCATTGAAAGTACATGCAATACATCATCACGACTAGCCATGTCATATCGACTCTGTGTTTCCTCTAAATCGACCACCAACGGCACCAAGTTTTCACACTACTTTGTTCACTAGAAGGGTACTTGGTGGCATGGTGATGACATGCGCAGCGCTTGTGGCCACTGTGTTCTGCAGCGTGCAGAGCAATTGGGTCGGGCGTTAGTTTGACCCATTGCAAACACACACACTCCGTGTGTGTGGCGTGTCAAAGGTTCCGATACCTTAGTGGAGGTACTGAGTACTTTAGTGAATGGTAGTCAGTAGACGCCTCGTGGCGTGTTTAACCTCACTAATATCAGTGTGTATATTTGCTGCCTTGACGAAGGTCCCGTGGCCGAAAGCCAAGAAAAAGCGGGAGACAAAACAAAGATATCTTTAGTTCATTGTTGAGCTATTCACTGGAGATGGTACGAGAACATTCCTCCGACGAGGAAATGCCAACGAACGCCGAAGAACGATCACGGTCGCGTGACCGGATCGAGG